CTCCCTCGCCGCAGCCCCGCCCCTCGCCCCCAGCCCCTGACCCCGGCTCCTCGCCCCGCGGGCCGCAACTGCGCCGCGCGGCCGGCTCCTCGCGCGCCTGAAAGGAGTCTCCAGGGGCGCCCGGAAAAAAGAGGCCGCTAGGCGATCGGCGCCGCTCCTACAGCTCCACGCCCCACGACGCCCAGCACTGCGAGGCCACCGCCATTCACCTCAAGGACCTCGGTCCGCACCCCCTCAACAGCCCGCCACCGCGCTCCGCGCCTCGCATTGCCTCACGGGAGCGCGCGCAGGGCCAAGGCGGGGCCCGCACGACGACCGTCTGCGCAGGCGCGTTGTAGGAAGAGGCGGGGCGGCGAGGGCGGGCTTTGGGGCGGAGTTGAGCGGGGTCGTGGGCGGGTCGCCTGGCGGCGAGGGTCGGCCTTAGGCTGCCGGTGTGGCCCTGGGTCCTTCCTTGCTCCCCTAGACCTGTGCTGGGCCTCCACGGCGGGCTTCTCCACCCAGTTCAGCTTTCAGATGTGTTTACATTCTGTCCGCCCGGTACCCCAAATGTGCAGCGTCTAACAGGGCTGTTTTTAGGGGAAAGCCTACCCGGGGTCAGGAGCACGGACCCGAGCCAGCTCCCGGCCCTGTCGCTCGCCTGCTGCGTGACGGGGCAGCTCTCGGCCCGGTGCCCTCTTGTGTCGCGTCCTAGACGGTTTCGATGACCGTCCCCTTTGAGAAGTGCTGGGGCTGAACGAGCTCATGGATCTAGAGCAATGGGAGCAATGCCTGGTGGTCTTAGGGCTTAGCTGTTATTACTCGCCTTACTATCTCTTACAATGAACGTTATTTTGCAAAAGCACTTAATTCCCAAGCCCTCATCTGACCACTAAGCAAAAGCTGACTCCCTCCACAATACCATTTTCAAAATATAACTTTTAAAAAGTTGAAAATATAACTTATATTAACAAAGACTGGATACGCGTCAAAGACAGATTTAACTCAAGGTGAAACGTGGTTTCCAAGGAGGATGCCAGAACCACGACGGGTGTAGTCAATGAAAAAAAGAGTGCTGAAATTAGGTTGCAAAGTTCGATGCGAATCTGGTTGATGCCCACAGTCCAATGACACCAAATGATAACTTTGAAGTTGTCATTTGTATTGGACAGAATTCATTTGCATATCTACCAGACAAAAATCATTTTTTACTTACCAATCCTCTACAAATTAACGTCTAAATGTGCAAAGTCTGGGGTCCTGGTCATTACTACATAGTACTCCCACGACCCCCAACATCAAATGACCCTAACGTGGCTTGTTAGACAATGTCCTAGTCTAGTGTGACATAGGAAAGGCAGAAGTCTTTCTGGACAGTTTTTCTTATTCTTTTTAAGAGAAAAAAGAATGTTCTAAGGCAGATACAATGAATTAATCTTGAGTTGAAGATACATACTAGTAATTCTTCATTTCTTTTACTTTTTTATCCTCCCCTTCTAAAAGTCAATAAAGCCTAAAATTATCTGAAAAACAAACATTACAGGGGAAAAAACTCACCAAGTGCTGCAGCCTGAAACCAGGGGGGATGGACCCAGGAGGAGAAAGTCCTGTTGGTTAGCTGGGAGGCCAGGTTAGAGCCCCTGGACCGGAGGGCTCCCTTGGCCCAACAAGGGGCTGGAGATGGGGGCGGTGTGCAGCATGGGACGCCAGCCGAACTGGCTTATGGGGAGGAAGTGGAGGCTGTGCAGGCAGCGCCTTCAAGAAGTTTTGCTGAGGAGGCAAAGATTGAGGGAAAGAGAGAGAAGGGGGAGAATGACGGGAGATGAGGGGGTGGGAATGCAGAGCTGGGGGGAGGGTTTGGGTTTTGTTTTGTTGTAAGATGGGAGGAACTTGGGGATATTTATAGACTGTGAGGAGGAACTCAGAGGAGACAGAAGTAAAGATGCCAGAAAGAAAAGGGGCTGCTTTATAGAAAGATCCACAGGAGACAGGAGAATGAGACCCTGAGCACATGAGGCCGTTCTAGAAACCCACTTGTGTAGTGACTCCCACGTCATTTCCTGGGCCCACAAATTCTCCATGTGAGTTTGAATTATGACTGTAGTTATTTTTTTGAAAGATGTTTGCAGGGCCAAAAAAAGCCATAAAAATGTAAAGTAAAAATCGCAATGGGATTAGCCCCCCGAGTAAAATGACAAACATAATAGGTTTAACTATACAGACTTAGGAAGTTTTCTTTGGAAACTTGACTTCTTAGGACATTTTTGCACGTGGAATTTAAGAAAGCAAGTACATTACACTTACTTCCAGGACAAGCTTCCTTTCCTTCAATCGAAATTGTTGGAGGTTTTAGTGGAGTGCTTAATGGAGTCAAAAGATAAAGGGTACCCAGGAATGAATCTTCACTGAGAAAGTCTATGAGGATAGAATGGACTAAACAGAACTGTGGGCAGCAAGTGTCCTTGTGGTTGTCTTTTTCTCCTTTTTTTCTTCCTGTAGGAATTTTTTTTCTCCTATTGGTATTAAAAAACATATCAGATATATTTAAACTGTAGTCTGATGTTAAAGATCATTTGTTTCCAGATGTAGTTTTCAGTGATGGCGGCGGGACTCCATGCTTCAAGTCACGGGGAGTGAGGAGTTTCTAAGCAGAGGACTGACATTCTCAGACACATGTTAGAAGCTTGATTCTGCAGTAACAAAAGTGACACACAGGTGGCAAGAGATAGATGCAAGGAGGCTCCCATGTATTGGAGAGAGGAGGAGCGAGCCAGCTCAGGGCGACATGTAGGCATGCAGGGGCTGCCTTCAGAACAGAACCCTGGGGCTGATGGACAGAGAGCAAGTCTGGCTGACTCGGCTTCCAGCTGAGCAAGAAAGTGGCACTTTTTCCTATTAATCTTTCCTCTTCAGAAGAAAACAGAAGGCATCACCTATGCTGCAGGGCTTGAGGAGGGTGGGAGAAGAGTGAGTTTGTCTTCCATCGAGTTGACATTCATGTGACAAAGGTGAAAGCTCAGTCCTCAAACTCAGGACCGGGTTGGGGTCAGGAGCTCACCAAAATGGCCCAACAAGGGGTGGGGGGAGTTTTGGGGCTGTGCTTAGAGGGCTGTGGGAGGAAGGGGGCAGCAGAGGGGCCTGGGAGCGGGGAGGGTCTCAAAAAGGGCCTTAGGACAGGATGAGGAGGCAGAAGGCCATGAGGAAGGAGGGGTTGAGAGCCACTGCTAGCTAAACAGGCAAGTGGCAATAATCCATTTACATTCTGGAAAGATCCTTGTGGGGCTGGTGTGCAAGGCGCCTGGCCTGGCTAGGGACTGGAGGAGAGGTAATGGCGTAAAGAGGGCCCTGCGGCTGATTAGCCCAGGTTAGACCAGCACCCGATTTGGGAGGCCATAATCCCTGCAAAAATGTACCAGGAAGGGGCATAGGAGACTCAGGGCCCACTTCCCAGAGGTGGTGGCCCAGCTGGGATGTGAGCTGAGGAGGGGGTGGTGAATGCAGAGGGATGGAGGGAAGCAAGGGTGGGAGTGGGCTGAGTTGAAGACATAGGAGCCGATGGGGAGAGAGCAGGCACCTTGGTTAATCCTGGAGGTGATAGGGGGCAACAAGACCACCAAGGTCATTCTGGCAGCCAAGAAGAGCGGGGGCAGGAGGGTTGAGACAGAGGCAAGTGTCCCACTTGGGGGGCACTAGCTGCAATCCAGGCCCTAAATATGGAGATGGAATTTGCAGCAAGAGGGTCTTCCCAGAGGACCAGGGTCAGGTCCCAGGCCCACTTGGGGACAGTGGGTACCTACCCTGAGCCTCAGTTTCCTGTCTGTGAGATGGGCCCAGTGTGAGGACATCAGGGGCTAATTATGTAAAGTGCTTACTTAGCACAGCTCCTGGAGCCCCCATGCCCTCAATAAAAGGTGGTGGGGACTTTAAATCATAGGAGTATTTGGAATTCAAATGCCCCGTTTACATTCACACCCAAATCCCCAGTGTGGCTAGGAGGACCTGGCTGCATTCCTAGGAGGAATTCCCTTGTTTTCTAGGGGGGCCCCCAGGAGCACTCACACAGGTTCAAAGAGCCCAGAGGACTGCTGCCTGCTTCAGGAGGGAGGTGGCACTCAGATTCCCCTCCTGGGGTCCCTGCAGGTCCTCTCCCACAGACACCCCAAAAGACACCTCCAGGTCTCACTGAGCCATCCCCAGTGTGCTATGGCCACATGGCCATAATGGCAGCCCCAAGCTCCCAGAAAGCCCTGCTCTGGCTGGCCAACTCTCCATCACTTGAGGTGGGCATTTCCTACCCTGGTTGCCCTCTGCTGGGGCACACTTTCACACCCCCACCCCACACAACATGTCCTGAGGACAGGAGGCAGAGGCCATGCCTGGGACATTCTGGGGATGCTGAGGAGAGGGCCAAGGAGGGTTTCTGAGAGTCCATCCCTGAGAGCCAGTAGCTGCTGTGCAGAAAGGGCACAGGCACAAGGAGGTGGGCTGAGGTCACCCGGACCAGGGCACCTGGCTGAGGACACTCGGCCAACATGGAGCACCCTAGGGGCCAAGCTGTCCTCATGAGGCAGTGCCCCAGCCCCAGGGCCAGGGACAAAGTCTGAATGCTGGCAGCAAGAGCTCCTGGTTGGCAAACAGGCTGGGAGAGCAGGGTAGGAAAGAGGGGACTTGCACCTCGACCTCCACCTTCATCCAACTCCAGGTCTGACTATCGAGGGAGGCAGCTGTGACTGTGGGGTTCAGCAGTGGCTAGCCAGCAGGTGGGGGGAGGACTGTCGTCTGTCATGCCTCCCAGAAAGCAGAGGCTATGGGCAGGGTGGTGACGGCCACTGACGCCACCAGTGGGCTCAGGCTCCCTACAGAGGCTGAGGGGAGGAGAGCCAAACACGGAGATGGAAAGAACTGGAAGCCAGAGGGGTGAGGTATAAAAATCTGTATTTATATTACAAAGACAGAATGGTACAGCACAGTCCCTCCCAGTGAACAGGCGGGTGGGTGGCCCATCTCTCTCCAGCGAGGATCTTGTAATGCGCCTACCTGGCCAGCACCAGGCCCTCTGGGCAGCCCCAGGCTCTGGCACGGAACCTGCCCTACTGCCCTAGATGTGGCCAGGGGTCAGAGTCCTGTGTGCAGGGCAGTGGGGAGGGGGCCCCAGGTTAGCCGGGCTAGAGAAGGGCAGGGATGAGGGAGTGGGGGAAGCCTGCCCCACCAGACAGGTGGGGATTGTCTGGGGCAGACAGGAGGGCCGTGGCTGGGCATCCACCTAGGAAGGCAGGCTTGGGCACCATGCCTCCAAGACCCTATCTGCAGAGGTGGGCCCAAGGCTCCAAGGAGGGGAAGCCGTCCTGCAACCTCCCTAGCCAGCTGTGCCTGCACCGGGGTGGTGGTGGCCTGGCGTGTGGGGAGCTGCCTCCTAGTCAGGGTGGCGACCCAAACCTGAGCCTGGGGTTCCAGGATCTCTGCCACCGAGTGCCACAGTGGCCCACATGGGTGTGGGAGGGCACACAGAGAGGGTACAGGCACCGCAGTGGCCCTGTCCTGGTCCCATTTGCTTTCTACAGACCCAATAACGCTCAGGTATGCTCTTAACAATCCAACGTGGCCTCAGCAGGGCCCCATCCGGGTCCCTGTGGCTACCAGCAATGGCCAACCTGTGTAAATGGCAGGGAGCCAGAGGGAGGGGGGATGGATGTGAAGTCCTAGCACCAAAACCCGGCCCCCAAGGACCACCCCTCGCATGTGTTGCTGGTGGCAAGGAGGGGCAGCTGGGACCATAGCACGTCTGGGTGGCCAGGGAGGCCAACTCCCTGGCCCACCCAGGAACCACGGCCTGAAAAGCTACAGGCTGAGCTGCCAGGAAGGTTGGCCAAGGGCCACAGCTGATCACCTGGGTAGGATTCTACTGGCCAGAGGTGGGAGCAGAAACTCCCCCAGGTGTTGGGGGGTGAGGCGGGGAGTTGATGCTTTAAGAATTCAGCACACAGGCCATCCCAGGGGCCTAGCACTGTGTCTTCTGAAGCAGGCTCTTAAACGCAGGCATTCCTGCCCTGCTCAGCTGGTATGGGGGTGCTGGCAAGGAACGCTGAGCGGACATGCTCAGGCTGACAGAAGAAGCCCCTGCTGGGCACTCCAGACCCCAGTGGAGCTGGAATGAGATGCCAACAGAACAGTTTTCCTTGCAACCACCAGCAAGCCGTTTGGACAGTCTCCCCAACTCCATGCACTGTCTCCCCACAACCCTGCTCTTCATCTACCATCCTGAGCCCCGTAGGGCAGGTTCTGTGCCAGAGCTTTTCCAGGGACCCCTTTCTGCCTCAGTAGGCCACCCACCCTGGGGTGTCTGTTGGCGTGACCAAAGATAAACACAAATTTTTGCCCACGATCTAGAAATTGGTTACAATGCACCAGAGAGGGAAGCAGTCAATGCTGTGGGTCGGCCCCACAGCCCGCTGCCCAGATATTGCTGTGTGGTCCCCAGGGACAAGGACTTTGGGGACGAAAGGCCAAAAGAAGCCTCCTAGTGCTCAGGCCTGACCACCCAGGGTGAACAGCTGTCTTCATGAGCTGCCACTGTCTGAAATCCAGAGCCCTCACCCCAGGCTTGGGGGTGGGGAGGGTTCAAGCTGGGTACAGGGGAGAACCTATTTCCCTGGTTAGCAGGCCACCAACTAGAAGGCCAGGCTGAACAGGGTCCCTGCCAGTCACTAGGGAGAACAACATTGGGAGGCCAGATCACGGCCCCTCTTGCCAGGTGACCAGAAAGCAGCCCCGCTGCCCGCACAGCCCCTGACCTGGCCCAGCAGTCTCTCACTCCCTGGGAGCTGTGGCTGCTGAGGGGCTGCCCCATGGAGAAGGGGCGAGGAGGGCACCTGCTGAGCAGGCCAGGGGCGTCCCGTGAGCCACAAGGGAGATGCTGGTGATGGTGGTCGGGGTGGGGCCAGACAAGGGACACAAGGCACACTTGGACGACGGTGACAGACAGATGAGTCCCTGAGACGCTGGGTTGCTCCCACCCCTCAGCAAACAAGGACGCAACAATGGCTAGGAAAATAGAGTACAAAAATCTCCTACAGGAAATAGAGGTGGCACATGCTGATGTCACTTAGCCGGGAGTCTTGAGAGGTTTTTTTCTCTTTTTAAAAATGCTTCTCTTTTGTTTTTTGGGAAAAGCCTCTCTCCCGGGAGCCCTGTTTTGGGCTGCTAGGCAGTGCAGCAATTTTTTTTGCTTTTTTAAAAAAGAGAGATAAGAAAGCCCCCTGAGGACCCAGTGGCTTCAACTGGCTGGCCCCCAGCACACCTCAGCCCTGCTGGGAGGAGAAGCCCCCTGCCCTGTGCAGACTGGGCAGGTAAGCTGAGGGAGGAGCCAGGCACAGGCCAGGGGCCAGCATTGGCCCAGGTGACCCATGATGGCCAATCTCCCCAGGACATGTGCCCTCTGGGGGATCCTGGGATCTCTGGGTCTGGTGACCATGTGTGTCTGTGTGCATGTGTGTGCAGGCGAGCGTGTGTGCAGACAGGCGTGTGTGCAGATGGGTGTGTGTGCCTAGGCGCATGCGTGTGTACATCTGAGGGACCTAACAGAGCAGAAGCTGCCCAGCTCAGTGTGGGGTGGCCAGGCCTGCCCCCCGGGGCCCAGCCTTGGCTCCTGAAACCAGTGGGGTACAAAGGCCCCTCTCCACCCACCTGTCCCAGGGTGCTCACCCGAGTCCCGCCCTTCATAGATCCCTCTGTCCATGCCTCAGGAGCCTACGTGGACCGACAGATAGATGGACAGACGGATGAACGGAGAGCCACGCCTTCCTTCCTTCCTCGGTCCCGGGATCCAGGGTTGGGGTCTGAGCTCCCTGCAGTGGTCATTAAGCCCCTCACACGGCGCCCGCCGAGGTTTGCAGCAATGATATTTAATACTTCTGGAATGATTAGGAATCTGAGAACAGACCGTGGGCGGCTACGCTGGGCTCCGGGACGTGAGAGCTGGGCCCCGCCTCCCTGCAGGGGTCCCTGTCCAGCTGTGAGGGGCGGGCGGCATGGAGGGCCCTGACCGGCAGGCAGGTGGAGGCGGGCAGCCCAGGTGGCAGCTGGAGCTTCCAGAATGGCACAGCAGTGGGCCTGTGCAGAGGCTTGCAAGGACTGGAGGGCTGACACACTTGGCTGGGCGGGTAGGCAGGCGGGCCAAGAAGCAGAGAGCACCGGACCTACGAGAGGCTGGGGCGCCCAGGCCGCCGGCAGAGGGGCCCATAGCTGCCATCGCTGCAGCCGCCACTCTGCAGACTGTACTGGTCGTCCACGTCACTGCTGCTGCCAACACTGTCCAGCTCGCCAGGGCCAAACTCCATGCCCTCTACGTCCACTTCTGGGGAGAACACAGGAGATGGAGTCAAACATTGTGAGGGTGCCAGCCGGGGCTCCCTTCAAAGTCGGGGCCTGTCGCTGCCTACTGTGGAGGGAGCAGAGGCTCCAGGGGTGGGGTCCGGGGAAAGACAGGGCTCCCAGTCTGCAGATCTGTTAAGAACACAGCCCCTGAAGCACACTGCCAGGCCCAAGCCAGGCTCCGGCCCTCACGAGGGCAGGTCTCCTAGCCTCTGTGCCTCACCCTCTTTGTCCCATCACTTCTGCCACTATACACAGGGTGCTCAGACAGTGCCAGGGACACACCATCACGGGGCATCTGCTGCCCACTGCTGTCATCCCCATCCCTCCCCCAGGCTGCCTCCCTGGCCAGCCCCACCCTCCCAGCTTCCCACCTCCGGGCTGCATTAAGTATGTGCCCAAAGGACTCGTGAGGGCTGCCCCCACGTCCCCACCTTGCTCCGAGTCGTCTGTGGAAACCGCAGAGCCTGTGCTGTCCGTGCGCACGCGCTCCAGGCTCTGCAGCGACAGCTGCTCCAGCCGCCGCTTCAGGAAGCGGTGCTCCCGCTGCAGCTGCTCCTTGATGCTCAGCGCCCGGCGGTCCTGCTCCTCCAGTTTCTGGGGGTGGGGGGAGCTGTGAGCCTGGGGGGCACACCCTCCCCCACACAGGGTCCAGGTACTGGGGCACAGAGGTCTGGGCAGGGCAGCTTTCCCATCCCCCATGCGGCATGAGCCCAAAAGTCGGATGTACCCGCTTCTCACTCCCAACAGGTGGTCATACTGGTGCCACCTCCCAGCCCTGTGCTCTGCGTCTGCTGACCAGCTCCAAAAGGCTCAGTCACCAGCCAGCTTGACCAAGCCAAGTCACGTGTGGGCCTGAAGCCCCAGGGCAGTGCCACCCCACCCTGGGCTGGTGCCTCCTCCTGGAGGACAGCACTACCCACAGGGGCTCTTCCCTGCACACTCCGGCCCCACCCAGTCTGTGCCTGCAGCACCTCACCCTGCCCCTCACCTTGTGCACACCTTCCCGTGTGCTGAGATGCTGCCTGCTCTGTGAGGGCCCCAGGGCACAGCGTGTGCATCTCTTAAAGCTCCTGCCACCCTGCCTGGGGTGCCAACGCCTGTGCAGGCTCAGGGGGCCCTGCAAGGAGCCCATGAAGGGACTGAGACCTGCCCTGGTTGGCCCAAGTATCCCAAGACCCAAAAACTAGCAGGTCTCAGTCTCAAGGCCTTGGGGGCCTGCCCTAAGCAACATCTCACTCAGCCCACAACCCACTGTGAGCCCCCAGAGACCGACCCCCACCCTCCGCCCCAGAAGCTCCCCCCACCACTAGGCCTCTTACTTGCCAACAGCCTCATAACAATGGCATTGAAGGAACCCCCTCCCCTCCTGGCCCCACATCTCCTCCAAGCTGCTGCCTCTCAGAGCCCAGGGCCCCAGAGGGTGATCTGTCACCCCCCTCCACCTCCCCCAGCCTGGCACCACCACCTCCCACTCTCACCACCAACCAACAAAACACAACACGCACCCGTGTCCTCCTCAACCCTCAGCAGCTCAGTGCTACACACCCTCAACCACCGGAGAGCCTAGGCCCCCGATGTACACCTGCTGGGCAGCTCCCCACCCCACCCTTGGGCCCTCTGGTCACTCCCCCAAGGCACACAGGGACAGGCTGGGGTCAGCCAAGGGAGCTGGCCAGGGCGGTGGCGGGGCACATGGCCCTGCTCACCTTGATGTGCATCTTGGCGCGCTTCAGGAGACTCAGCGTGGTGTGGCGGGTGCTGTCGGGGCCCAAGGGCACCAGCTGCTTGAGCTGCTCCAGGTAGAGCCTGAGTTTGGCTCGTCTGAAAGAGCCAGAAACAGAACCGTCAGGAAGGCAGTACAGCCCACAGGGGCAACAGCAGTGGCAACAGAGCAGGAAGAGAGGTCTGGGGGAGGGCAGGAGGCAGCCAGCTGGACTCCTGCACAGACCTGCTGAGGGTCCCTCTCCGGCGCTCCCTTCCCAGCCTGGCTGGCAGCTCCCCCGGCCCCTCGAGCAGCCTGGCACCCACAGCCCTCCAGATGCCCCAGCAGAAGAGGAGGACCTGTGGCCGAGGCCTATGTGGTCAGCCAGCCCCTCATGGCCCCTCAGAGCCTCAGAGTGCCATGGCCAGGGACTGCGTAACAGCCCCAGCTCACCCTGCTGTCACCACCCGCCACAGTGGACTCCAGGAGGCCAGGGGGAGGGGGGACAACCTGGAGGAGGTAGGGGAGTTGGGGAGATGCAGGGCACTGGTCAGGCTGCTCCCAGAGATCCAGGGGCCTCAGACAACATTTACATCCCCCACCTCACCAAGTGCAGGGTGCTCTCTGGTCACTCTCGTCACCATAGAAACATGAGTCCATCCAGGCCAAGGAGGCCGAGGACTAGCCCCTCTCACCCCTGCTTCATTCCAGATCTTGTCCCTGTGTCCATGCAGATGAACGCTGTTTTTTCACAAAACTAGAGCTGTAAGACTCAGCAGCATTTGGTCACCTAGGGGGCCTCACGCGAGGGGCTTTGACCTGGATCTGCCCTTGCAAAAATGTTGCCCTTCCTGACTCATCTCATCTGGGGAGGGCAGACTGGCGGAGATCATGGGGGGGGGGGCTAAAGTTCACCCCCAAAGCATGCTCTGGCCACCGTGATGGCCTGGGGTCTCCGCCACGTCCACGTGATCCACGTGCCTCAGCATCCGAGGGCGCCAGAGCCCCTGCAGGTTGCCATAGTTGTTTCTGAACCCTGATGTTCTGCTTAGGCTAAGCTCTTAAGAGAGGAACTGCAAGGCCAAGTGGTAGGAGGTTTTCTTTGAGGCTTCTGACAACCTGCTGCCTGACTGCCCTGCCATTGCCAACGCCAGCACATGCTCCTCTCCCCAGCTGGTGCCACACTGCTGTCCCACCTTTTCATCTCCGTTCCCTATGTCCCGAAGCCCCAGCAAGTCCACAGTCTCACTTAGCCCTTAGAGACCCTGGGAGGAAAGTGAGCAGGGACAGCCATTCTCTTTGGACCGAGGGGGCACCCAAAGCCCAGGTAGGGAAGGGACAGCTGGGTGTGAGGCAGGAGCCTGTCTGCAGAGCGGCGATAACAGCCCCACCCTGCAGGAGGAGGGCTGACTGCGCTGCAACCTGTGGCCCTAGTCTCTCCCTCATATCCACACAGCACCCCGATAACAAAGCACCTCCCCAATGGGCACCCCAGCCCATGGCACTCTGGGGCCTAGAAGTTCTCCAGGTAAAGCCAAGTTAGACCTTAGGAAGAACTTTCAGGACATGGGACAAAGGCTGTGCTTGGCCACAAGGCCACGCAGAGCTGGGGCCTGAACAGCCTGGGCACTGGGGACCTGTGTATGAGCAGGCTCCAGCCTCTGCCTCAATGTGGAGGATCTTCAGAGATGAGCCCCCACCCCCACATGGACCCAGGGCTGGGGAAGGGGGCACACCAGTGGGTTCTGAAACTCACACTTCTGGATCCCAGGCCCCTGCTGCATGACCACTCAGAGCCCAGGGAACCTCAGCCTCCTCACCTCCAAGGGGGCGAGCACTCTGGCTGCCCCACTGAGAATAGGGCCAGGAACCATGGGGCAGGAGGTGCAGAGCGCACCAATGAATGGCACTCTGTGCTCAAGGAGGGGCCCGCTAATCAGAGACCCACCCCCTTCCACAATGGGGCCCACTGTGCTGCCACCAGCAGTAAGTGGGAAAGTGGAGTTCCCTTGTCCACTCACTCTATAGCAAATGGCAATTCTTACAGTCTACCGTTTAATTACATATGCAGTACGTGATCTTTGTGGAAAATTAGAAAATGCAAATCAACAGGAAGAAAAAAATAAATGAAAAGTACCCCCAAATTCCACCACCCAGAGACAACCGTATCATCACTTTAAGTGTATTCTACGTTTTCACATCATGAGTGTTAAGTGAAAAAAATCAGCATACAGAACCACCTATGTGACAAGTGACCCAATATTGTTTAAAAAAATAAAAAACAGCAGACGCACACAAGAGACTCAACAAGACACAGTGAAGAGCAGGAAGCATGCGTCTCCAGGAGAGGCGGTTGGCAATGTTTATTTCTTTGGCTTTGTGCTTTTTTTTGGTATTTTCCAGGTTTTCTATGCTAAAAAAACCACATATTACTTTTACAATCAGAAAAAGACACATTTGTACAAGAAAGAAAAAACATAGCTAAAAGACAAATAACAGTAAAAATATCTGCAATACATATAAAAGACAAACGGTTATTATTCATGACATTGTGAGCTCATACACATCAAAAAAAAAAAAGGAATATCTTAATGTGAAAACGAGTCAAGGACACAAACAGGCAAGCTGCAGAACACAGACAGCTCTTCCAACACAGAACCGACTCCAACTCACGTCACCCGGCAGCGGGAACTCGCCGGGAGAAACTAATTTGGGCTGAAGTGAAAGGAGTGCCGGCCGGCCCTCAGGCTGGCCAGTGCGCAGCAGCTCGTGCTTCATCGGTAGGAGAGCAAACAGGACGGCAGTTCTGAAGCCATGGCAGCGACTCAAACCCTTGACCAGCATTTCTACTTCTAGGATTTTCGTCACACAAAAACACCCCCCAGGGATGCAGAGACCACGTTTACCAACATTCACTGCAGCACCATCTGTGTTGACCAGAGGGCCGCGCTAAGAACCCTGCAGAACAGCCACGTGTCCTACGTGGGCACCTGGATGAGGAGGCAGAGAGCGCAGCGACACAGGAGGACAGTGCTCACGTGGTGTCAGGTGAAAGGTCAAGGTAGGAAACAGCGGACACCAAGGTCCCCTTTGTATCCAAGTTAGTCTCCACGTGGAGACGGAGGAGGATGCAGGTGAGGCCTCCCAGCTGCCTAGGATGGCTGTCTCTGGGGTGGGGCACAGGAGTGGTGCATGAGCATCTGTGACGTACATGAACAGACTGCCAGGCCACCGGACTATACCCAGGCAATGTTTAACTCTGGACAGCATGCCACCCAACCCAGGAGGGTGCTCAGACAGGACTGCAGGCTGCTAGGGCCTGGGCAAGTCCTTGCCCTTCTGAGCCTGTGTCTCTCCCCTGTGGGGAGTGGGCATCCCCACAACCTCCCTGGAGCTGGGGGGGGGGGTGCCAAGGCCCTGCAGCCTGGGGCGGCACTGGGCTCTCACTAAGCCCTTTTCTGAAGCTGCTGCAGTGCCCCAGGCCCTCCGCCAGTGCCTCGCGGCTGTCCCCAGCACTCCTGGGAACTTTGAAAACCCACCACTTCCCGAAGGAACTCGGTGTGGATTCAGGAGGCAGAACTGGCCTCTGGGAATCACTGCATTAGTGTTAACAGCAGTCCCGTCTTGAGCAGCTGGCTGTAGCGTGGCCCTTGACACGGGCCCTGCTCCTCAGAGAAGGACCCAGAGCTCCTGCTGGGTCCCCCAGCGCTTGAGGAAACAGTGGTTCCCTCAGCGGTGGGACGAGAAGCATAGCCCCATGCTCTCCTTCTGCTCACCTGCATCTTCTAGTCATTGCGGGGTTTATAAAGGCCGCGTGGGGCTGCGTCAGGCAGATGGGGCCAGCCCCGCACAGGGAGGACTGACCTGTTGGGGTAGCTGCAGTGCAGCTACCCCTCCCCTGCAGGGAGGGATCCACCCAGGGCAGGACAACCATCCCCATGCTGGGGAGAGGTGGGCAGGGGCCCCACTGAGAGCACTGGGCTGGCCTTTGGGATGGTCCCTGCCACTCCCCCAACACATGCAAAAGCTAAAGCCTGGAGCTGGGCAAGGGGATCCTTCTGCCAAGGAACACGTGGCCTACATGATCCCCAGGACCCTGGCGTCAGTAGCTGAGCACTGGCCTTAGCAGACCCGCTGGAGCTGCTGTCTGCGAAGGGAGGAAGGGGAGGAAGAAGAGGGCTGGCTCAGAGCATAGGCAAGGGGAAGCCCCGCAGGCCGAACGTGGGCACACCTCCAGCAAAGGCAATGTCCAGGGCGTGCCTCCCTGGGGGCTGGCCGGGTGACCCAGCCAGGTGCTTCCTTCCTTCCTTGGGACAGCACACAGCCCTTCCTGTGGCCTGGGGCATCCGGCATCAGCATCAGGCAGTCACAGGTACAGCCATGACCGAGGTCCCCACCATACAGGTCCCTGTTCCGAGCCCGTGGGCTCCTCAGGGCTGCCTACACCTGCCAATCCGCCAGCCAGGAACAGAGTACCTTGCCCTGGGCTTGGGGGGTGTGCACAGAGATCCCAGGCTGCCCACCCACTCCGCCTGTGTGTCTCAAAAGGGCCCATGAGGCCCAGTCTAAGGGTGGGCTCTGGGAGAAGGTTGCTGAAACCAAGACCAGGGTCAAAGGGTAGTTGCAGGGGTCAAAGGTCAGCCCTTGTCCTCCTCCTCAAACCGCTATGCCAGTGCTACCCTCCGCCAATGTCATCCCCCTTCTGTCTGTCTGCATTGAGGGGCTGTTCTCCCAGGCACTGCCCCCAGGAAGCCATCCCCAGAACACCCCCACATGCCTGCCCAGGTTCCTGAGTCCAGGTCAAGGCAGGCCATCTCCTCTGGCCTGGGAGCAACCCCAGGGCCTGCCTGGCTCTCTGGGCCCCTGCACTTGCCCCTCCCCCATGGCCTCTTGGGAACCCCTCAAACACACAGGACCAGTCCAGGAAGTGTGGCTTCTCCAGAGAACGCGGCGTTCTGTCCCTGCCCAGCGCCCGCCCAGCAGAGGCCCGAATCTCAGGGGAGCGGAAGTTGGCGCTGCCGTGGGCATAGATGTGGTGGTGGGGTACACAGAGAACTGGCCAAGCACCAAACTTCCCAGGGCAGGCCAGACCCCCACTCCCACACTCCAGTCCAAAAATGGAGGAAAGAACTGGCCCATTTCTCAGATGGGAGCAAAGGTCAGGAGAAAGCTACTACCCAGCATCCCTTGGGGGTGTCACCCTGGTCCTGGCATGGGGCTCCTGCCTTCAGGGCCCCCGTACCCACTCACAGCTTCCACCGGCCTTGCTGAGATCAGCTACAAGGGCACCCATCCGCAGGGGCAGAGCCTGCCTCATCCCCACTGCAGAGCAGGTCCCAGGTCACAGAGCCCCTGAGGGCAGAGCAAGACCTGCAGCCAGAGCAGCTAGGCCAGGGCCAGCCAGAGGCGGGACCCGGAGCTGACTGGGGCTGGAGGGGAGAACCTCCTCAGGCCACCATGCTGCCCTTCTCACTTCTCACCACCGGCCCCCTGCTCCTCACAGGGGGACCCAGAGCAGACTCAGCCCTGCAGGCAGTGGGTGGGCCTGAAGTGGGCTCCCCTGGATCCTGCCCTAGGCCAGAGCTTCCCACCAGGCCCGCATGACCTGGGACTGGCTGCCCATCCCACTGCCCCACGGACAAGACTCTAGCTCCCTGGAAAGCAGGCCCCAGGGCACAGGAGGCCCCAGACCAAGAGGGCTGAACCCTTCTGGGTGGAGGTCAGCGTCCTGAGGGCTAAAGAGCTGCTCCCAAAGAGGCTCAGATACCCCAAAGTAGATGGATTTCCTCATCCAGGAAGCTGGCCCTGATTGCTACACAGCACAAGGGACCCTGTCCCAAGTCCCTGACCCCTACTTGGCTCTAGACCCCAGGCTGAGCTCCCAAGGACAGGACCTGGGCCCCCACCGCTGCCTCCCAGCATGGAAGCCTGAGAGTAGGGCCCGGACTCTTCCTTCAAGACTGACCCTTCCCAAGACGAAGGCACGGCCTGGCAGCATGGTCAGCCATACCCAGGACACACGGGGGGATGGCCGCATCCCCTCAGCAGAAGGGTGGGTGGGACGTGTCAGGAAACTCACTCAGGGGACAGGGGGTGGTAGACAGGGGGTTGCTTACCTGTGCTTTTCTAGTTCATTGTGTGAAGACCTGTTTAGAGAGAGAAAGACAGAGCTCACTCTGCTGCCCAGCCACCAGAGCACAGGAACCAAGCTCTACTCAGGGACCCTGCAGACCAGGATGGCCCAGGATGGGGAGGGCTGGGGCAGGTCAGCAGCTGCTGACCAAATGCCGAAGGGACCTTGCACCACGTGACAAGGACAGGAGACACAGAGGTGCAGCTGTGTCCAGGGGGGCCCAGGGCCGCCCAGCTCACCCAGTGAGGCACACTGAGGCACGTGAGGGCTCTGGCCAGCAAAAGGGTCCAAGTCCCCTTCCAGAAGGGGTGGGCAAGGCCCAAGGAGCAGCAACAGCCAGTCCTGGGGCTGACCCACACTGTGCTCCCAAGGCAGCCTGGGCACTGAGCCCCACTCTGCTCCCTACTCTCCAAGGCCAGTGGTGTCCCTGGAGCCATGTGGGCTGGCACAAAGGGCCAAGTGCAGGTGAGCACAGAGGCCAGGACTTCAGGACACGGGCGGTCCTGTCCAGACATCACCAGCCAGAGCACCATCCCGACCCCGTCAGGCTTACACACGTGCATGATCACAGCCCATCATACCAATGGGGACACCCAGGGACAGAGTGGACCCAGCTCAGGAGGGATCAGGCCACAAGGGGGCCTCTGAGATGCAGATGCACCCTGGGCCAGTGGGCCGGGGGGAGACCAAGGCTGGCCTTTCCACTTCCCTTAGGCCATGGTCCGGCAGGACTGGCCGCCCTGGGCCTGAGCTTAGCCTCTCTAGGGGCAGTGGCCGCATCTGCTGCTCAAATCCTGCCCATCTGACCCCTTCAGACAGGGGAACAAAGCCACGAGCACTGCAGCGAGCAGCACCAGTGTTCACCCTGAGGGACAGTGAGGCAGTGAGGCAAAGCTCCCAGGCCAGGCGGAGACCCCTCGGGCCAGCCAGGGCTCCCAGGCCTCCCAGGCTGCCTCACACATGAGCAGAGAGCCCAAGCCACCTCAGAGCACACCCAAATGGAGCCCTGTGCCCTCTACCTCTCACTCCTTCCTGGCACTTCTGCTGATCTCTGCCTGCCTGCCCTCACTCTCTCCTGCTCCAGGAACTCAGGACTAGATGTCTCCCGTCCCCACCCCTCAGGCCAGAGTGCGTGCCTATCCTGCTTGCCTCTGCCACCTGCCATGGCTCGTGGCTCCACCATAGCCAACTGGGACCCAAGGCCTCCCCTCCTCCCACTGGGGCAGCCAGCTCCCTGGGCCTCCCCGTGCAGCCTCAGGAGAGCCTCCAGCCCCACAGGTTCCAGGGACCTCGAGGGTTTGCTGGTCACATGGGCTAGGCAAGGAGCCTCAGAACCTCTGCCAGGGCTGGCTAAGGCCAGGAGGGGACACAGCCATCGGGCTTCTTGCTGGTCTGAACCTCAGCCTTGCGGTGTGGGTCTGTAGGTCTGCTCACTTGTGAAGAAAGTAAGGGTCAGTGAGTGCCCTTTAATACAGAGAAGCCCGCCCGCCCCCTCGCAGGCTGCACTGGACCTCGTCCTGGAGGAAGAGGGACAGCCAGGGGACGGAGAGGGGCCCAGAGTCCCTCCTGGGACTCCTCCCAGGTCCAGATACCCGCAGGAACCTTGCGGGGAGATTCCTCACAGGTCCCAGGAGCACCCTGTCCTGGGCCATGCTTCACATGGTGGCTGGAGGAGAGGTGGAGAGGTGGGACAGCCCGCCTGGGGCTATACTAAGCGCGTTCCTGGCATCACCTCGCTTGGTCCTCACTTCAACCCCTCGACATCTGCCCACTTCCCTGTAGGACCTGATCCCCAGCAGGCTGGCTCCAGGCCCCTCCTGCTGAACCACTGCCCCTGAATAGTCCTTCCTAAAGGCCTGGCAACCAATGGGGCCGCTGTCCCCCCACAAACGTTGCCCTCCTGCCCCACTACCCACCCTACACCCTGGCCCCAGCTGTGCTGGAACACAGAAGCCTTGCAGGTGTGAGGCTGCCCTGCCAAGTCAGAGCCCTGATCCTCCGGGCCAGGACAGCCTCGAGGAGCCATCCCTGTGAGGCCTGGAGTGCCTCAGGCACTGGGGGGGTCAGGTTCTGCCCAGAGGAACCAGCAGGGAGGTGCACCGGAGCCCGTGAGACCCTCTCGGTCCCTCCCGGCGCCCTCAAGGTCTCCATCCCAGTAGGATGCAGAAGGCCAGCACCCCACCTCAGAACAGGAGTCCCAGAGGTGAGAGGGTGGCCCCGGACAAGTAGTTCAATCTCTCTATGCCTCAGTTTCCTCAGCCCCAAAATGGAGATAAAAATAACATCTCCTTCATGGGCTTGGGTAAATATTAATCAGCATGTGCATGAAACACAGTACATAGGAAGCACCTGGAGAGCCCTAACTACAATTCTGGTGATAAGCATTGGGGACCCCCTACCATGCAAGTCCAAGGTCACGTCCCAGAGTTTTCCATGGGTAGCTGGGCACTGGGGACAGCAAGACCCAACAGGAGGGGCCTGGCTAGCTCACTGAGGAGGCCTGAGGCCGTGGTACCCGCCCCCCCACGCATGTCCTTTCCCAAACTGTCCCCAGCAGGGGACTAGGGGCTGGGACTCAGAGACATGTCCAGCCAGGGCAGATGGAGACTCAACCAATCCTTTGCCAGGCCCAGGGCGCCAGGACGTCACAGGAGATTGGTCCTTGTGCCAGCCTTTCTGTTTCCCAAGAACGGGCAGGCCACAGGAATGAGCCGCACCCTCTGCCAAGGGGCCCGGAAGCCCCCTGCAAGCACAGCTTCCAGCCTGGTGACATGGTCGGGGCCAAAGTGGGCCCCTGGTCAGTGCCAGGTGTGCTGCAGTCCTCATGGCAGCCAGGAGAGTGGAACCCACGGAAGCCCTAGCTGAGGGTCCCCACTCCCCACCCAGGGAAGTGCATCCCAGCTGCAGGGCTTCTGCAGCCCGGGTACAAGGAGGGGGAGATTACTGGCACCAGGAGGGGCTGCTGCATGGCAGCCTGCCCCCTCTTCCGGCCCGCTTAAAAAGGGCCTCTTGTCCCAAAGAAGGTGACCCCTACACTTGTGGCTGGAGTTTCACTTGTGTCAAAAGGCTGGGCAGGAGTGGTGCGCACCACGGGAGGGCTGGGGGCCCAGGGCAGGGCCTCCATGCGCCTTCTTTGTCCAGGCGCCTGGCGGTGTGGGGACTCAGCCCAACAGCAGGCTCGGCCCTTGGAGACAGTCGGAGAGATGCGGCCCACCCACCCGCGGCGAGCAGAGGTCAGGGCTGACAGCCCCACGCTGCTCTGCACGGAGCCTCAGTTTCCCCGGATCTACGGGGCACCGGCCAGCGCCCACTGACAACTTTTTTCCTGCCCGGAGAAGTCGAGAACAACTTGGGGGCGGGGAGCGGCTGCGGGAGGAGACCCCGGGCGGCGGGCGCTGTACGCGTGGCACTGTTTACGCGAGAGGCCGAGGAGGCGCGGCCGCGGGAAGATG